TGATTCTGATTCCCTTGAATATTTCGATCATTATTATTGTGTCCTAAAGGTTCACCTTGGTTATTCTCCATCAGTAAATTATTATTTTCCAAGTTATTTCTTCTATGGATAGAAAGTGCATCTCTATCCTTGTCATTTGTTCAGCTAATCTTTGGAAACTATCAGTTATAGTCGCACTATAGGGTTTAAGATATTGGTCATTTCCTGAGACCAAAAATTAACCATTTCATAATTATCATCATCCATTTGTTGTCTTATTACCTATAATGTACTGTTCGATATTCTTTTATTTATAGTCTCATTGTCAACTTGATTTCTATTATATTCCCTATCATTTCCTACTCTAAGTTGACATCGGTCATTCATCCTACTAGAATTTGGGGTTGACTTCCATGACAACATTCCCCATGGATACCTTTCCGTTATTTGGTACCCCATGACCATTTCTTTGAACTGGTGTACTTCCACTAGCATTATACCCCCTAACATAAAAGATCTATTTATTGTCACATATCGTCTGGCATTAGCACTACTTATAGGATTATTTGTTAGTTGTATTACTAATGTTCCTTGATTTTTTTACTACTAGTATTATTTTGATTAGCAATATTACCTTGAATATTTTTGCTCACACTATTATGCTCAATACCTATATTCTAACCTTTATTAATATTATTTGGTCCACACTAGATGTTAATGCAAAACTAGGTGTAGAATGTGCTTTGATGATTCGTCATGACTATTTTACCACTTCTTAATCTCATATTATTATCCTATAGAAAACAAAATTTGTCCCACCGGACGTGCCAATTTGTTTATATTCGTTGTTTGATTAAACAAAAGTATATCCAAGTATGTGATGAATCATTTGAACACCATGTGGATTCTTTTAATATTTTACTAACAAACACAATTTTTTTGGGTTTATATGCAATCAACACTAGTCATTCGATAATTAAGATACATATATATTTCAATTAAAGACCATTCACACACAATTTGAAATTTTAATATGATTTGAAACATTTAAAGTAAATTACTAGAAAAATAAAAGTACGAGTAAATTGTTGAAAAATAAATGTGTAACGGAAGATAAATGTGCAGAGAAAGTAAATTACATAAAAATAAATATAATCCATTATCAATGATAAAATATAATTGACAAAGAAAATCAATAAAGATGAACATTTAAATTACAAAGAACTCCATTGAAAAATGTTTTTTCCTTATTCGTAGCAATATTTTCGAATGCAAGTTTTTTCGTACAATTTGACAATAACCCTAATTACATTTATTTCACCCTATTTATATTTTTATGTGTAACTACTAAAACACTTAAATATAAAAATAAGAAATAAAAATAAAATTAAGATGAAGTCGGGTAAAATACATGAAATGTAAATAAAAATTCACGAACAATTACTTTCCTATAATTGTTTTCCATTTTCCTTGACTTACTTTGTTGTCATGTAATATCCATAGACGTGCACATCATGTAATGGGATCATAATTGTTTCCACTTTCTTTCGATGTCTTGTTCCTTCCGATTCGTAACCCTAGATTTGATATTTTCAATTCTTCGATTTTCAACTTCAGCTGATCATACTATCCCTTTCTTGACTTCTCATTTGTTCAACTCAATCTTCTTTTCGATGATATGTGCTTTGAATATTTCCTAAACATTCACAACTTATACATTTGATCCACATATTCCAACTTATTGCTTTAAGTTAATATTTTATTTTTTATTTACTTTTTTCGGTCCTCGACTCTCAATAGCTTCAATTATCTTTTCCCATTATCATGTTTCCTTTAATACCTCCTATACTTATCGATTTATTCCCTTCCATATATTTGTATTTTTGTCACTAACAATTGGTTAAAAATATATTATTTTGGTTTAATAAAGTATCATTTATAAATTATAAACACTTATTTGTTGGCATAATAAGATTTAGGGGTTTAGGAGCTTTCAAACAAACAAGTTTTCAAATTAATTGTCAAAATTATCTATTAACAGCTACATTTTGAAAAAAATTATATATTATATATCAATTTTGACTTACATAAGGGATAAATAAATAATTTTAGACTGATATAATATTTTTTAATATAATCTACATTAAAGAAAGTTTCAAATCAATGAAGAATTTTGAAAAATATGATGAATTGATATTAAATAATGTAACATCTGATAAAAAGATTACAGCTGTCTAATTTAATTATACTTCACAATACAAAATAAGATATCTACGATTTGGACGTGTGTGAGTATAATTTAATTAATGTGATTTTTAATTTAGATGTTGTATTATAAAAGACTGTGTTTTGAATTATTTGTGTCACGTGTAGAATATGTTAAACACAACAAACAGAATGCAGCAGATCATGAGTTTCGAATTGGGATTGGTCTGCGCAGACCCATTTGAATCCCAATAATTGAAATTTTGTATCCCTGCAATTTCAGGCAGAAACAAAACACCATACTTTACGAGTTAGAATTGCTTAATTATTTATTTTAACAAAATTTCTAACTAGAAAATCACTTTTAAATTTTGAAAAGTTGGAACTTATATATTAATATCGCGTAGCGCATGCAGTTTTTTAATAAGATAAACCCATGCAGTTTTTCAGTCCAAAAACGTATGCGGTGACGCAAATCGAAACGCCCTCAAAATTGAATCAGATAAATTATTAAATAAATAAAAAGTAGCACAATACGAAAGAGGTGGCTGAACATCTAAAATGTTCATTTTTCATTTTAAAAAATTCTAAAAGATGTGATTTGATAAAAAAATATAAAAATCTAATAAGAATAGTTAAGAAGATGAATGTTTATCATTGATAATCACATTCTAAATATATGTTTATTTACCAATTAAATTACTCCAGTGATTCCATAACTTAAGCTTTACTTGTTCACGATATCGCTAAATATCAGAACTTTATGCGTTGCATGGCTATTCAGAATCAGAAGCTTAACAAGAAATTTGAAATGAGTGACCAATATATTAAAATAAATATATTATATATTTGATATTATTAATTGAATTTGAATATTAGAAAATAAATTTATTTTATTTTATTTTTTTCAGAAAAACATCTATAATTTTATTTTTAAATTTAAATTATTTTTTTCATATTTTAATATCAAACTAAAATATCATAAAATATTAAAATAATTAACTAATTTATAATAAATAAATAAATTTATATTAATATTGTTTACACATATTAATTTATTATAATAATAAATAAATTTTTTTAAGTTTATTGTGAGTTATCTTTTTTATTTTTTTTTGTTTTATGTTTTTTAACAGAAAAAATAAAAAACTAAAGAATAAAAAATTAAAAGTTGTATGTTATAGAAATAAAATTATAAAAAAATTGAAATATAAAGAAAAAAGATAAATATGAGAAAACAATATGGATATCTGATAGAAAGAATGACAGTAACAAATGAAAAGATGAGAGAAAAAAAAAGATAAAATTATAAAAGAGAAATATAAGTAAAAAAATAATAAAAATATGGTATTTATTATAAATAAATAAAAAATTATTTATATTTATCAAAAATATTTATTTTTTATAAAATAATTATTGTACATAAAAAAAATGGATTTTAGGTGGGAGAGTGGCCACTGCTGGCCTAATTCTTCCTCTTCAGAATTGATAAGAAAAGAATGCGTATCCTGTTTTCACTTTTTAATCATAAAAATTTCATATAATTTTTGATTTATCTTATTTTCAAAGATTTGTATATGAATCAGGAAAATATTATTCTGGGATAATGATATTAAACAATAATTTATGAATATTCCATTTTTTAAAACACTTCGTCAACATTTATTTCTTCTCTTCATTTTGTCCGGTCGTATTATAATTCTTATAAAATTTATAATATTTTTCTCTCGATTATGGATTTTTGACTGGTTTGAAATTTACATGTGACTAAAAAACTAACTTTGTCAGATATGTTATGTTTACTTTTGGGAAATAGACCTATTTTGACATCAATTTGCTTCAACCTTTCTAACATCTGATTTTAATATTGTAATAATAACAGTAATTGTGATAAGAATGAGGTTGTCGATCTCAATTTGTGATGGCAGGCCAAATTTGTCATGGCAGACCAGAGAAAAGCAAATAGTACGGAATAGTTGAGTTTCCTTATACAGGCAGTAATTTTATATTTTTTTTTAGTGTGAATTTATAGTAACCACTATCAAATAAATAATTTTTTAAGAACTTATATATTAATAGAATAATCATAATATGATAGAATTAAAAAATATATATACTATTGTATTAATAAATAAATTTGTTTAATGATCATATGTTATTTACCTATTTTTATATTTAATTAATATCTATTTTTCACTTTTTATTACATCATAATTATTATAAAATTATTTTTTTCTCAATAATATATTTTACTTATATACATTTTCTTGTTGATAAATATGTATTAATAAGTAATTTTATTTTTAATAATAATAACAATGATAATTATTATTAAAATAATAAATTAAATTATTATGTAATTTTTATCTAATCTAAATAACTCTACACAATTTCTTAAGTAATTGTATTTGGACAATCACTTTCAAATAAAATAAACAATTCTATATTAATATAATAATCATAAATAAATAAAAAAATAATTAAAAAATTATTATTACGTTATTAAAAGAAGTTGTCAAATAAGAAAAAATTGTCAATAGATTTTCGTTTACCTCCAAAACCAAAATCCATATATATACTTGGGAAAAAGATACATTGAGATTCATATATATTTTTTATTATAAAAATCTAAAAATAGTAATGTAACGATATTTTAGTCTCACCACTTTTTTTTTTTTTTTTTTTATTATTATTATTATTATTATTATTATTATTATTATTATTATTATTATTATTATAGAATGTTTAAGAGCTCGTGGTCTATAAATACCATGACCTAGGGTACTTTGTAGTTCAACTGAACTCCTCTCAAAACTATGGCTTTTCAAGTGTTGGTCATCTGTTTCATCTCCACCATCGTGTTTGCATCCATACTAATGCTATGGAGAAAACATAGCAAAACCCTCCTTCCACCAAGTCCCAAAGCTCTTCCCATCATTGGTCACCTCCACCTTCTCTCCCCGATACCTCACCAAGATTTTCACAAGCTCTCAATCCGTTATGGACCCATCATGCACCTTTTTCTTGGCTCAGTCCCTTGCGTGGTGGCTTCCACCGCAGAAGCCGCCAAAGAGTTTCTCAAAACTCACGAACCCTCCTTCTCCAACCGCCCTGCTCAAACTGTTGCCATTGAGGCCTTTTCCTACGGTTTCCAAGACTTCTTGTTCGCACCGTACGGACCCGGTTGGAAGCTCATGAAGAAACTCTGCATGACTGAACTTCTCGGCGGTCGCATGCTCGACCAGTTCCTTCCCGTGAGGCAGCAAGAGACCAAGATATTCATCCAACGAGTGCTCCAAAAGGGGATTGCTGCTGAGGCCGTGGATTTTGGAGCAGAGTTGATGACGCTTTCGATTAACATCGTGTCCAGAATGACCGTGAGTCAGACGAGTTCTGACAACCAGAACAAAGCTGAAGAGATGAGGAAGCTGGTATCGGATGTCGCGGAACTCATAGGGAAGTTCAACATATCAGACTGCATTTGGTTCCTGAAGCGCTTTGATTTGCAAGGATTCAACAAGAGGCTCAAGGAAACAAGGGACAGGTTTGATGCTCTGTTGGACGGAATCATAAAGCAGCGTGAAAAGGAAAGAAGGAACGACAACCAAACCGGTGGAACACGACCATTTAAGGATATGCTTGATGTTTTACTGGACATGTTCGAAGATGAGAATTCCGAAATGAAATTAAACAAAGAGAACGTTAAGGCCTTCATCATGGTAAGTCAATAAAGCATGTAATTGTTTAAATGATTAAATATACGTATAAGTCAACAAAGAAAAATTATTAAATGGTCTCAAATTTTCACATAATCATAAATAGTTAACAAGACTTTATCATACATATATATGTTACATAAAGAATATTTAGGTGTCCATCCTTCATTTCCTTTCATGCAAAGGTGACTAACATGTGCTCAAATATTTAGGACTTATTTGTTGCTGGGACTGACACATCATCAGTAACCATAGAATGGGCTATGGCAGAGTTAATCAATCACCCACATGTATTAGAGAAGGCAAGGCAAGAGATTGATGTAGTGGTTGGAAAAAGTAGAATAGTAGAAGAATCAGATATTGTCAACCTTCCTTACCTGCAAGCAATTGTTAGAGAAACATTTAGGCTTCACCCAGCTGGTCCATTGATTGTTAGAGAGTCATCAAGAAGTGCTGTTGTTTGTGGGTATGATATTCCAGCCAAGACTCGATTATTTGTGAACGTTTGGGCTATTGGTAGGGATCCCAATCATTGGAAGAACCCCTTTGAGTTCAGGCCAGAGAGGTTTACTGAAAATGGACAGAGTCAATTGGATGTTAGAGGACAACATTTTCATCTACTTCCGTTCGGGAGTGGAAGAAGAGGATGCCCAGGTACTTCATTGGCGTTGCAGGTCGTGCATGTGAATCTGGCTGTGATGATTCAGTGTTTCCAATGGAAGGTTGATAGTGGTAATGGGAAAGTGGACATGGAAGAAAAGTCTGGCATCACTCTTCCCAGGGCTCATCCTTTAATTTGTGCCGTTGTTCCGAGGTTTAACCCATTCCCGAATATGTGATTGTTTTGTAATACATTACAAATGTTATTCAACACTTACCGAAACCGAAAATATTAATCTGATAGGAATATTATGTAATAAGAAATAAAGAAAATAATAAGGGTTGATGCATTGTTAAAAAATAGGATGCCTAGAAATATTTTTCCTTCTTTTAAAACATCATGTATCCATTAGCATGTAAAAGTTATCTGCACTTTATCAATAAGGACTGAGATTGCTAAACATTTTAATTCTTAACAAAATTTTCTAATATATTTAACTATTACTTTTAATTTAGGAGGAGAATTGTGAGAGATTTAAGGACAAACTTTGGATGGTCATAGGTGAAGTACAATAATATATCTTAATGTGTATTAGGTTTTTTTTTATTTAGAGGGTGAAAATGTTATCCATAATTCATAAGAAAAAAAATACTTAGAATATATAAAAATAATTGTAAAAGGAAATTATTTAGTATTTCATTATTTAGAAGTCGATATACGCTCATATTTTAATTATCAAAATCTCGTTTAAGGATAAAACTGTGATAGATTAGATATTTAAGCTCAAAAATATATTGGACATAAAAATTAACCATAATGATACTATCATAATAAATATGACATCGTAATATATAGTTCCTAGATGAAACATTGGTGGCACCTACCATGAGGCTGAGAGTAGAATCTGACTCTATTATTGCCCCTTAATCTTTGACTAGAAGATTATTTCACATAATTTAGAAGTCAAAATCAAAATAGTTTATATACACCATTCTCCGACATAAAAATTGATCATAATATATCATTGTGAATACAAAATTCACATAGTTTAAAAATCAATATCAAAATAATTTATATACACTCTTCTCAAACAAATTATTCCAAACATGAAACTAAGATATTATTGTTGCGTGATAAAAAAAACTATTTAATAAAAAAAACTAATATAATAATTAAATTATTACATTATTATAAAAAATAATGATAGATGGACAATCTTTATCATATAAACGTCTAAATATAAACGGAATCGTTCAGGAAAAAGATTTGTTCACACCCAATTTTTCTAATATATCTCGTCACAATCCTAAAACATTATTAAAATAAAATAAGATAAATAAATAATAATATAAAAATTTAAAAGTTGATCATGATAGAAGTATAAGAAAAATGGGTTATCAATGTTTCGTAACCCAATTTTTTAATAAATGATTGAATAAATGATTGAAACAAGAACACTAATTAAGAACTACTACATTTCATATATATGTTCGCTTGCGTACCTGTTTTGTTCTTGAGTTTTGTCTTCAGTGTTCGCTTTCTATGAACCTTATAAAACTAACCATTTAAAACCAATAAAAGTTGAGAATTCGGTAAAGTAACGTTACAAGAAAATTTATCTTGTACAGCTTAACATCCTAGTGATAAAATAAATTTTCAGACAAAGCTGTAACCTAAAAATGCATGCTTCAGTACTTGAATACTAATTAATTAAAACCACAATTTATATATTTTATTTAACTCGTGGAATTCAAATGCTATAAAATATTAACTCCAATTGTTAATAAATATTCAGTAGTTGTAATATGGAATAATCTTTACAGACACCATAGATGAGTTTTGCTAATCTTGGAACATGGGCTCATCTCAGCTCTATGCTGAAGAAGACGAATACACGTTCACTTCTCATTACCCTTTTTCACACTCGACCCGTAAAGACTGTGAGAAGACAAAAAATTGAATTCGATTTCAAAGCTTACATGCTCCACAAGGTTAACACAGTGAACTAACCGAGCCTTGGACGAAGCCATTGCGCTGAAGGAGCCGAAGATGATCCACGAAGCCATGCGCTACACGCTCGTCAGCGGCGGCAAGAGGATCCGCCCGGTGCTCTGCATCGCCGCGTGTGAGCTCGTCGGTGGCAACGAGGATACCGCTGTCCCCGCCGCGTCCGCCGTCGAGATGGTCCACGCAATGTCGCTCATCCACGATGACTTGCCCTGCATAGACAACGACGATCTCCGGCGAGGGAAGCCGACGAGCCACAAGGTCTTCGGCGAACACGTGGCAGTCCTTGCCGGCGACGCGCTGCTAGTGCGCGCGTTCGAGCACATGGCGGCGTCAACGAAGGGCGTGCCTCCCATGCGGGTGGTTCGCGCGATAGGGGAGTTGGCAAAATCGGTGGGCGCGGAAGGCCTTGTGGCGGGACAAGTGATGGATGTGAAACCGGAAGGGTTGTCAGGTGACGTGGGTTTGGAGAGAGTGGAGTTCATTCACCTTCACAAATCCGCGGCGTTGGTGGAAGGTGCGGTTGTGTTGGGAGCAATAATGGGGAGTGGGTCGGAGGAGGAAGTTGAGAGATTGAGGATGTTTGGTAGGTGCATTGGGTTGATGGGTCAGATTGTAGATGATATTCTGGATGTTACTAAATCGTCTGTGGAATTGGGGAAGACGACGGGGAAGGACATGGTGGCTGATAAACTCACTTATCCCAAGGTTCTGGGGCTTCATAAGTATATGGAGATTGCTCATAAATTGGTGGAGGACGCCAAGGAAGCCTTGGCTTTGTTTGATGCCCAAAAGGCAGCTCCACTACTTGCCGTAAGTAATTACATAGTAGACAAAATTAATTAATACACTTTCATTATTGGATACAAATTATCTGTAATTATACAAATTATAAAAAATAAAGGTGCCATACCTTCTTCAATTCATGCATGCATCCACCCACCTATTGAATACTCAATCTTTTTGTGTGATTAATTGATGTCAAATAAATTTTAATTAGCCTCCCATTTTTCTGATTTTTTTTCTAAAATAATAATTATTTATTCAAATAAACCTATTTTAATATTATTTATCCAAATATCAAAAAGATCGAATTTCGAATAGATAAACACTACGTGAAAAAAAAAAGATCGAGAACTGCAATTTTTTTTTCACGTCTGATATTAAATATTATATATATATATATATATATATATATATATATATATATATATGATAACAACATATCTATATAATTATATATTTATATATATATATATATATATATATATATAATAAATACATATATTTATATATTTAATAAATATATATGTATATGATGTAATTTTATTAAATATATAAAAACTTATTTATATATATTTAATATTTATAGTAAATATATTTAAAATTTGTATTAAATTTAATTTTAATATAATATAAAATAAAATTGATATAAATATTTATTAAAATTATAAATATTAAATATCAAATTTAATTTTAATATAATATGAAATAGAATTGATATAAATATTTTATTAAAATTATAAATATTTAAATTGATCATATAAAATATTAAAATATTATAAATTAATGATATATAATTGAAACATTATTCGTGAAAAAAATGTATCGATAATATAAATTGATTGATAAAATATTTTTAATCAATAAATTTTTATTTTCTTGTAATGAACATATAAATTTATCTTACATGTAATTTTATATTTTGTTTTAATATAATTGTCATAAAAAAATAATATTTTATTTATATGTGTTTTATCAATTGTTAATTAGCCTAATTTATTAGAGTTGTCGAGCGATCTGATTTTTTTTATTTTATTTTAAAAATTACTCAATTTATATATATATATATATATATATATATATATATATATATATATATATATATACTAATTATAGATTCAAAAATTTCTTTTCTTTTATCAAATGTTTCGAGATTTTTTGAGATAACTGCTTCCCACTATTTCAATTTTCTTGACTTGGAATTTTTGGACATTAGATAGGGTTTATGAATGGAAAAATATTAGAACATTTTCAAAAGGAATGGTTAACTAAAGTTTTTTTTTAATAAAAAATATTTAATATAAATAAATATTTGATTATGAATATCGTGATTTAAAATTAAAGAAAAATATTTAAAATTTTAAAAATTTATTTATATAAATATTTTTGGATAAAATGTAAAAAAAAATTTGTATAAAAATTCATAATAAAATATTTATTTTTATTCATAAATAACTCTTCCTAATAATTCATTTTAAAGATATTTTTATTCCACTGTGATCGTTTTATTTGAGTGAAATATTATTGTTTGTACCAAATGAACTTAAAACTCCATTCCTATTAGGTAAGTTTATTCATTTGAAACGTATGTTATTGCTTGAATTCACTTGAGACATATGTTATTGCTTGAATTCACTTGAGACATATGTTATTGCTTGAATGAAAATAAGTTCGTGATAAATTTTTTCCTTTTAAAAATCTCATCACTGGAGCAGATAAACCTTGATTTAAGCAAAAAAAATTACAAAAAATAATTTTATTTTTATTATATTTTTTATTTGAACAATAAATTGTCACTTAAAAAAATATATAAAAACTCTATATAATTATAGAGCTTCAATTTCCTACCCAACTAATATACATCAATACCATAAATATATTTTCAAGATAATAATACAATTGACTACTACTTTATTCATTTTCATCAACTAATGCATATCATTCTCATAACACAAGCACATATCAATTAACCATATCAAACACCAAACACATGTTAACAAATCAGTTACCAAGTCACTTTATTACATTCATATCTTTTATCTAGTGTAATATGTTAAAGGTATTTCATAGTAATTTCTCTTATCTTAATTTAAGTTTTCACCAAAAGAAAAAACCTCTTAAATTTCCTAAATCTCAAGTTAGCTCCTAATATGTTCACAAAAATACTCCCATTAACAAATCTAATGTATCACACTGATCTTATATTAACCAAAATTCATCTTTATGTAGGAATAACTACATGCAAATAATTTTACACATATATGCAAAACCACAATTTTCACATGCAACTCATATCGTGACAAAATAAATAAAAAGAAATTTACTCTAAAAAGATTATGATAATATAGAAATCTTTTTTAATATTACAATGGGATTGAATGTTGTTTAAAATAATAATTGGGTGAAAAATCTTAAACAAAAGTTACAAATTTTATACATTCAGAAAATAATATATTTAACAAAATAAATTTTAAATAGGTAAAAATTGTTGTTTATAAAATTTTGAAATAAAAATATAAATATTCAGATTTTACTTAAATTAACCCATTTCAAAATTTAAGTTTCTTACAATAATTATTTTAAAATATCCTCATAACTTAAGAATCTTTGAAATTTTTTATCAATTTCTTATTTCTTTTAATTTATCATTTCCAATATTTTAGTTATAATTTAAATTTATTTTTTAAATACTAATAATTGTTAAAATAAAATTTTATTAAAATATGAATTACTCATCATAAATCTAAAATGTATTTTAAATTTTAAGAATATTTATTTATTTTAAGAAATTTTATTTATAAAACATTGATATAATGTTATTACAAAACTGGAATGCTAATTAAAATAGTATTTAGATATTGAGAAAAATAATATTATTCCTTCTTTATTTTCTCAATTACGTGTCTTTATTTTTTTTTTTTGTTTCACATTGTCTCCAATAATTTATAATTACAAAAATAAATATTTATATTTTTAAACTAATATATATATATATATATATATATATTAAATTTTAATTAATTAAAATAAAAATAAGTATAAACACTTATGTTTTCACTGTTATGAACAAAAATTATTTATTTTAAATCTAAAATATAATTTTTATATTAAATATTTATTATCATAAAAGTTAATTATTATATAATTTAGATATTTAAATTATTATTATTATTTATATTTTAATTGTATATATCTTGTCCAAACCCAACAACTTTTTATCCTTCAATCTTATAAAAACACTCTCAAATCAAACTAACTCCAACAAATACATACACACACCGTCTTAAAAATCAAACACATACACGCATTATTGAAGATAAGGATTCATGGGGAATAAATCTAATTCTCTATTTACCATTTATTGGATTCCAACTAAATATTCGGAAGGCGAGACAAGATAACTATAAGCAAATCTGTCTCTTTTTTTATTTTTATTTTTCTGACAAAAACTAGAATCGAATCTTAAAAGGTCAGTTGTAGTTGTAATCCACCGTTTCTAGTCATCATCCGCCCACAGTTTTATGTTTTGTTGGATCTTTGGTTCCCTACCTCTCACAAAGCATCCACTTCCTCTTCTCTTTGGATCTCCCTGTGTTCAATCCCGTCACAATTACTATCTCCGTTTCCTGTTCTCCCTCAAATTCTCTCTCACTCCCAATAGCAACACAATTTTAACTTTATCGATGAATCACTCTTTTCGCGGACATCTATGATTTTTTTTTTTTTTTTGACAAAGGCATTGGTCTTTCAGATCTAACTTATCTGTACCAATACTCCACATTGCACAACATCTTCTTCTCGTTGTCGTGTATCGTTTTCACCATCTGACACCCTTTTGCCTTACCGGGTTGGATTCATCTCAACTTCTGTTTTGATTTATTCAATTGGACTGGGAAAACAATGGTGACGGTGAATCTGGGAATGCTTCATTATGTGTTGGACCACATTTATGGAGCATTCATGCACCGTACTAAGATGAGCACCCCGTTCTTCTCGCGAGGGTGGGGCGGCACGAAACTTGAGATGCTGGAGAGGATGCTGAAGCAATTGTTCCCGGAAGTGGCGGGGCAGAATTGGCCTCCGACGTTGATTGAACCGGTTTGGAGAACCGTTTGGGAGACGAAGAATGCTAGGTTGAGAGAGGGGATATTCAGAACCCCTTGTGAGGAGCAACTGCTAGGTGCATTGCCCCCCGAGAGCCACACTGCAAGGGTTGCATTCCTCATGCCCAAGTCTGTGCCCCCCAACAGAATGGCCTGTGTTGTTCATCTTGCAGGTAACTCCAACTTTGCTCATTAGGTACACAAACGGGGGAAAAAAATTAAGTAATTGTTAAATTATGAAAAGATGATAGGATTAAAAAAAGTGTTTTTGCCTGGTTGCCCCGATTACAATATATACGAATGCAACCATTACTTTAAGAGTAAATTACACTACTGTCATGTGATTTCCTGAGATTCTATACAATGTCCCTATTTTTTTAACCTTCATAGCAACTTCCCTTGGAAGGGTACACAGTATCATGCCTTTCAAACAATTAAAAGGGTTAATTTAATGGATGAAAAGTCAGTGTTTTCATATAATTAAGGGGTCCGTGTAAGAGAAAAAAGTAAGAGGTATTGAGAGAAATTTAAACAAATATCAGTCATTGTAATTTACTCTTGTTAAGTGTTTAGAATGAAACTGTATAGTTGTTTTGCAATAATATGATCGGAACCTGTATTGTTTAATTTTGCCTTATATTTGAAGGCAAAATGCTGAATTATGGTTGGGGAGTGGTTACATTTCTTACTTCATTCATCTGTTTTGCTTCCCTCTGGACAAATTAATCTGCTTTGAACATTATGCCTCTTATCTTTCTTCCTTTCCTTCCTATCATATCCCTCGCACAGACCAGCTTTAGGACATTGCTTGTGATCAGTGATTTTTAGAATTTCACATCTCAAAAGAGTTACTTAGTTGAATGGCATACATAAGAAAACCATTACCGAACTATTTTCTGTTAGTTTTACTACTTGATCTTTAATTCTTCTAATGAATTCATTGTGTTGAAGGTTACATCAGTTTGGCTAGTTTCACTATTTATGTTTAAAGTTTGATAAGTTAATTATTTTAGAAGAACTTATTCACACTGAAACCCTCTCTACTTCGGACTATGTCTTTGAGATCTTTCCATTTTCTTTAAAACTAAAATATATTCACCCCGTCCCCATGGTGTGCAGGAACCGGAGACCATACATTTGAGAGAAGATTGCGTCTTGGTGGACCACTGATGAAAGAAAACATTGCAACCATGGTACTTGAGAGGTCAGAATCACTTTTCATGGTCTTATTCTGAAACCAAAAGCACCATCCTTTTTTTTTTTTTTTTCTCTTAAACTATTCGTTTAATTTATGCTCTGTATTTGTGGTTATGCAACTGCAGTCCATTTTATGGACATAGACGGCCTGTGCTGCAGCGCGGTGCAAAACTTTTGTGTGTTAGTGACTTGCTTTTATTAGGAAGAGCAACCATTGAAGAGGCACGCAGTCTCTTACACTGGTTGGACACCGAGGCAGATTTTGGCAAGATGGGTGTTTGTGGTCTTAGTATGGGTAAGGCTTGTCTCAACCCATTCAGGAACTCACTATTTTCATGTTTACAGTCCTGCTTAACTTTTATGATGCTACACAGCCACAGTGATTTAAAAAAATATATACAGAGAAATAAAATGTTATTGCTTGAACTAAGTTTCCTTTTAGATAACAAAACAGTGGTTATCCCACAAGTGGTGCAATCAAACAAGTTAACTTTTCAAATCTCTTGGCTTTTCCTTTTATATAATTTTTGCAATATTTGGATGTACTCCAGGAGGAGTACATGCTGCCATGGTTGGATCACTTCACCCTACACCTGTTGCAACACTTCCTTTCCTGTCTCCACATTCTGCCGTTGTGGCATTCTGTGAGGGGATTTTAAAGCATGGCACTGCCTGGGAAGCACTGAGGGAGGATCTTGCAGCCCAGAAGGTTGCAATGACTCTCGAGGATGTGAGAGAACGAATGAGAAATGTTCTGTCTCTCACAGATGTCACACGTTTTCCAATTCCAAAAAACCCCAATGCTGTAATTTTTGTTGCTGCCACTGTAAGTTCCAGATTTCATCATCATCATCATCACGTTACGAATGTGTTTTAGCTAGAATTGGAAGAAATATACATCCAAAAAGCATTCATTTAAATTGCTCTTCCATTATATGGCTGAGATCCTTTTCATATGTTGTTAAATGCGTATTAACTGTAAGATAAATGAGTTTCTTTTGCATGGAAGTACTGCTGTCTGAAAACACCTCCACTTTCTGCCTTATTTTCTTTCTGCTTCTAAATATGGCTGTTGTTGAGACAACAAAACAATTTAAAGGTTAACCAAATCGTAGAGAGAATATCAGTTTGGTACACTGCTATATATATTGGTTTTTATAACCTGCTTTATTAAAAGATATTTTTCCTTCCATTTGTTTCAAGTTAAAAACTAAATCTTAGGACAATATGCAAGTACATAAAATGTTGATCACCATCTCACGAGTTTTGAACCCTCTGAAATCCTCAGAATGGACACTTTGCTGTCTACAAAATCTTGTTTTATTGAGATGTCTACATCTGCCACTTGATTTCTGCTCTTAATAATTGTCAACATTGTTTTGCAGGATGATGGATACATCCCCAAGCACTCAGTCCTGGAACTTCAGAAAGCTTGGCCAGGTTCTGAGGTGAGATGGGTCACAGGTGGACATGTCTCATCCTTCATTCTCCACAACGATGAGTTTCGAAGAGCCATTAAAGATGGTCTCGACAGATTACCATGGAAAGAGTCTCATTAAAGATGGTCTCGACAGATTACCACGGAAATAGTCTCCGTTGTGACAGGATTATTGCACATGAAGATGTTGTTGTTTACCTTGTTGATTGATACAGTGGTTTTCTCTTCCAGTGCTCACCGAAACTGGTAACATGCATAATTGATCTCAGATCTCCCTCCCCGAATGAAGAGGGAAGGAGTTGTACATGATGACCAAGAGAAAATGTACATTGAAAATAAAATATGATGGGGATAGAATCTTGTGAAAAACTGATACAATTGTTGGATGAGAATTTGACTGTTCTGATCTCTCTTAAAAGTTTTCACTTGTGTGATTCATTCATTGGCTTGTTTGTGTTTTGGATGTTGGAAGAGACTAGCAAGGTGATAAAAAGGAACAAGCTTGATGATGTTCCTATCCACGAGTAGAAGAAAGGATGGATTTTCCAAAGACTTAGAGTGAATTCTGGATAACACCTTGTGATAGCCATTCATTCATTTGTACCTAGACTGTTGACACCAAAACCTTATTTATTAATGTCATGCAAATTCTTAAATATCAATTTATACTTCTAGTATCTTTAAATTCATCAAATATATAATTATTTTCTTATTAGCTATTAATTCTTTTAAACCTAAATACATTGTATTCTGGTTCCTTTGATCTATGTGCTTCATCATATATTATATTCAGGTTCCTATGTTTATATTTCAAAAACATTTTTATTACATTTAATTTAAAGAAAATAAATTAGAACATAAGTGAACATAATTTTCTTTTAAAAGTAGTTAACTTTTAAAATAATTATTTAAAATATAATATTGATATTCTTTTATTTGCAATTTTAATCTCTTATTTTAAATTAAAGACATTTTATTTATTAATTTTAAAATTAATAATTTTGATCTAATGGTCGAAATAAGACATTGATTGTTAATATGTTTTCTTAGTTTTTTTTTTTTATTAAATGTCAAAAACTATTATGTTCCTCTTTAATTTTAAAAGTTATACACCTGTAATTTATTCTTATTTTAATATAACAAACATTCATCTTTTATAATAAGAACAAATTATTCCATTTAAATTTTTTTTTCCAAAAAAAAATCCTGTAAGGCATGAGCAACTTATAGAGCCACAGTGAAATTCTTTTAAAACAATTTATCAATTTTAGCAATTGGGGCCAAGGAAAGAAAAAGTATAAGTCACAGGGTTCTGTTTCTCCTAGGAATAACAAATTTATCTTTTTTTCTGGTTCATGTAAAATTTTGTTGTGCCATTTTGTATAATATTTAATTTTAGCTTTTTCTTATCTAAATTTATTATTTAATTATGACTTTTTACTTTAAGAGAATTGATAAAATAACTAAATATAATTTTAATATTTTTATATCTAAGTTTAATTAATATTGGGTAATATGTTTTGTTGATACAAACTTAAATAAAAGGTTATATATGTTTTAAGGATAAAGTATATTTTTTATATAATAATTATGATAAACATTTAAATTTAATAAAATTAAAATATTTTATTTAATTTTTATAATATATTAAATATTTCATTAAATTTGTAATTATTATTAAAAAATAGATAATTTTATGTTATGTATGATGTTTCTAAAAAATACTGTAACTAATTATTAAAAGTTGGATTCATCAAGTTTCTTCTAAGTGAACTTTGGAGTATGAATAAATAAATAAATAAATAAATAAATAAATATATATATATATATATATATATATATATATATATATAATCAGTTACATATAACATAAAATTAACATATTCTTTAATAATAATAATTCAAAATTTGATAGAGTAATTAGTAATATATAAAAATTAAATAAAATATTTTAATTATATTAAATATAAATATTTATTTAAAAAATATATTTAATTCATTTTTTTACTTTTAAAACTAATTTATTATGTTTAAAATATAAGGATTAAAACTTAAAAACAAAAAACAAAAAATATATTTAAACCTTAGTTAAAATATAAACCATCGATATGCATAGAATAGATTTAGATTGAATCGATTTAAAATTTATTATTTTTTAACCTTTTATATCATTTAATTTAGAATAAAAATATAAAATTCAAGATAAAGTATATTTTGTAATATATATTTTTAAAAATAATATCAAGCTATATAAATCCCTCTTATTTTTTATTTTAATATGAAAATAATTTTACTTTATTAAAATTACTGAAAAACAGAACTCACATTTTAATCATGATATCTTATTCTAATTAGTTAAAAAGTTAAAACATTGGATTTTAGAGGAAATAAATCTGCAAACCAAAATTTCGCAAATGTTCTCAAGATGGATGTTTATTTTTTAAAATTGAAACAGTGGAAACCAAATTTGGGCCCGATTAGATGGGCCGGGTTGGCCATCCTCGCCCGCTAGGTTTTACACATATTTTGACCTGAAAATACAAAGACTCTCTTGCTAGGTTTTGTACTTCTGCTTCTCTCTCACCTTTACAAGCAGCGTTCTTCTTCGTTGGTGGTGTGAACAATGGCGTACGCTGCGATGAAGCCCACCAAGCCTGGCTTGGAGGAATCCCAGGAACAGATCCACAAGATAAGGATCACCCTTTCCTCCAAGCACGTCAAAAATCTCGAGAAGGGTATGCATCAATTCATTCAACTTCTTCTTTCTATGCTTGTTGCAATCCTTAGGTTTAAGTTTCAACTTTGGTGTTACACTTAGTTTGTGCGGACTTGGTTCGCGGTGCAAAAGACAAGCGTCTCAGAGTTAAGGGACCTGTTCGGATGCCCACTAAGGTTCTTAACATCACTACAAGAAAATCCCCTTGCGGTGAAGGTATTTTGCCCTTTTCTATTCTTTTTATTCTTGTTATTATGTGCTTCACTTGTTCCTGTTTCTTATATTGTTGCTTTCATGTTTACTACAATTTGGTTTGCCTCAGTGCCCTCCTATATTGGCTTTGATACTAGTAATTTTAAATATGGATGCCCTTTAGTTTTAGACATGTCATGATGATTTGATTGTAGAGACCAAAAATATGACCTCTGGTAAAGATGGGGAACAGCAGAAAATGACTGGCTTATGCCAATTAAGGTACTGAATTGGATTAAAATTGTAAAACAGTACAACTGTGATATCAATTGCCCTATATAACGGAAGTATAAGTTCTGTATGGATTCATCCTCTATGCGATCATAGACTTGTCACCCCTTTTGTGTTTTGTAATGTTGAGAAGTCTGGGTTGTGGTTGAGTGAAAGTTTGAATGATTTTGAACTAAAGTTTATTGTTTTTAAGAATTAATTTGTATTTATCTGTTTCATTCGAAAAAAATATCAAGTGTCAGATGAAAGATATGATGTTTTAGTTTTCATTCTTATTTGTAGCGCATGGAATTGTTCAAGTTGTATTTTTTTTTTTTTTTTCAATAGCTTTTTATTGAATGATATTAGGTTCTCAGATCAGAAATTTCCTCAACGAATTGTGATGTTAAACTTGCAGTGTTGACTTGCAGATTTTAATGAGTATAACGGTGTTCATATTTTTTTTTTTAGAACAGTTAGACTAATGTATTATTTAGCTTGGTGATTTGATTTTGAAGTATTGTGTTCAATATTTAGTCTTTCTGAATGTTGTTTATGGTTGAATGAATGATACTGTTTTTTGTGCTCATGACACTGCTACTTGGTCTTAGGTACCAACACTTGGGACAGATTTGAACTCCGTGTGCACAAGAGAGTCATTGACCTCTACAGTTCACCAGATGTTGTTAAGCAGATTACCTCAATAACCATTGAACCTGGTGTGGAGGTTGAGGTGACCATTGCGGACGCCTGATCTTGATCCAAATTTTAACTATTATGCTTCCTAGTTAATTCCCTCTATTATTCTGTATTTTCTAAGTTTTGATTGCTGACTGAGATGGTTTGTTTTTTCTAGTTCTACGGTTGTGGACATTGATGAAATACCAGGGAAATGTCATTTTAAGAAATTCTAGAATCTTTTATATATTTGTTTTGAAATTATTACAAATCTGTTTGTCTGGACTCAGTAATCATTGTATCTTGAGCAAAGCAAAGTTTTAATCCTGATACTGGCCGTAAACTAGTTTTGAGATATTTTTTAAGTTGAAAACTAAATAAAAATAAGACATTATTAATGGCGTAACTTACAGAGATATTTATCTTCGAGAGGATCAATTTATTTGGATCATTTTCATAATTTATTTTTTCTATAATTTAACAGTTTAAAATAGTAAATTTCAATTATTAAATTGTAGAAAAATGAATAACAAGAACGAAGATAAAGCTTCTAATTTTTATTTTTTGAAGGAAAAAGTTTATTTATTTATATTTCCTTTTATGTGATAGGTTTTGAAATCAATTGATTTTAAAGTCGGTTTGAATTGATATGTTAATGTGTTTGATAGATTATTTCAATTATTTTGGGCATATTATTGTACATAATGTATATCACTTATTTAAGTTCTTCCTATCTTTTTCTCTTACGAAATAGGCATCTCATGAGTGTTAAACTATTATTTGTTTTGTGGTGAAACTGAGATGAACATTATCCATTCCATATTCAGTCAGAATTGAAACCTGCTGCTGTTTTAGATTTACTATCAAAGCAGGGATGAATGTAAAGCAATACATTATCTTTCAATGTCTGCAGAAAGAGACATTTTTATTAATTTTTGAAGTCAACTGAAAACTCATTTGCAGCTGGGAAGGGGGGATCCACACAAGCACTTGTTATGAAAATACGAATCCACGTCAAACTTCTGCAGTCGTCCACCCTGCGGTATCTCACCACAAAGTCCATTATAGCTCACGTTGAAACCCTGCAAAAAATCCACTGCGGTCAATCCCACGGGAATGCTTCCAGTGATCTTATTGTGATTCAAATCCAACGATATCAAGCTGGTAGGGAACTCCACTTTGGATAAATCAAACGCCAACAAGTTCCTCGAAACGTCGACCATCTGCGTCGTTTTGTTGCTTCCGAAAAGCATCGAAGCGTCGCC